GATTTCACCATATCATATAAAGAGTTACCAGGCATAGAGGCTTGGGGCATGGTCCTTTGTGGTTGTTGTTGTCCATATGACTGGAAACCTGGTGGTTGCTGCTGACCATAAGATTGTTGATTCCCATAACTAAAGTTGGGGTGATCTCGCCATCCCGGGTTGAATATGTTCGAATAAGGGTCATAAGCGTTTCTCGGTGCAAAACTTGTAGCACTCACTTCCACCTCTTCTCTTAGTGTGGGACAAGCATCTGTGGGATGCTCAACACTCCCACAAATTCCACATGGCTTCACTTGAGCATTACCTACAACAAGTTTCCTCACAAAAGCAGTTAGCTCATTCAATTGTTGTTGCATATGAGAACTTACCTCAACAGCTTCTTTTACTCCCACGACATCCCTCGGCCCAAATTGTTGAGAAATGAAGAAAAAGGGTGCCCGGAAGTTCTTCTGCATTGCTCTCCAAAAGTTCCCCCTCCGTAGTGTTCTTCCTTCGCTTCTCTTCTCTCTTAGAAATAGGTTGTAGGTGAGATCGCGGTAGAGAACGTGGTAGTCCCCTTCTCTTCTCCTCTTCAATTGAAAAAATCGTGTCTCTTTAAGTCTATCCCAAGATCCCCTTTGCACTTTAAACCAAATAATTCTAAAATTGCTAATTAACCCCGGAGGACATTTTTGCAATTTTCATTTTTTTCTACTTCGTGATCACGCTTAAGGACTTCCTGCGTTCTGCTTTTCTCTCCAATCTGCCCAAAATTTGCCAACTCCTCAACGCCTAGTACAAAGTTCAAAAACACACCATTAGAAGCATATATACAAAATTCGTATCCAAAAATCGTCTAAAATATAGCAAAATATTTGTCTAATATCGCATATATCAATAATAAACTGACATGGGACCATCTCGTAGATGCATCAATAAGCACCATAAAATATTTAAATGGCCCACATGGTGGGTCTATTGGTCCACATATATCCCCGTGTATTCTTTCCAAAAATGTAAGTGATTCAATACCTACTTTAGTTGGCGATGGCCTGGTTATCAATTTTCCCTGAGTGCAGGCAACACATGTTAACTCATTTGAGTTTAACACTTTTTGACCTTTTAATGAATGGTCACGCGAATTCTCAACTATTCGCCTCATCATTATACTGCCAGGATGCCCAAGGCGATCATGCCATATTTGAAAATCGGTAATTTTTTGATCTACCGTGAGGTGTGTTTCAACAACACCTAATCTGACGTAATATAAGCCAGTAGAGAGTGAGGGTAATCTCTCAATGATGCATTTCCTTTTATCAATGATTTTGATGATCAATAAAAATTCACCATCGGTATCACTTATAGTTTCAATGTGATAACCATTTTTCCGAATGTCCTGAAAGCTCAATAAATTTCTTCGAGCTTTAGTGGCCAACAGTGCATACTGTATCACAATTTTCGTCCTCGCGAGGAGAAATATAATGGCTTCTCCAGAGCCTTCAATTAGTTTGGCACTGCCATTTACTGTATTGACATTTATTTTTTTCCTTTTCAAATGAGAGAAATATTTTTCGTGTTTCAATATAGTATGTGTCGTTGCACTGTCAATGAAACACATATTTGCATCATTTTGTTTGACATCCATTTAACCTTCAAATACAAAAAAGTAATATGCGATAATTTAAATATTACAAAATATAAAATGACATAATATGTCTATCACCGGGAGTTTGTTGGATCGAGGACAAAATCCGCTATATCAAGATGCGTTGTGTCGTAATCCAGAAGTCATCATCAGGGTTGTCATCGTTATCAACATGATTAGTCTCGACCTCTTTCCCATTTTTCTATAGTGAGGCTTGATAAAGATCGGCTATGTGTTTGGTTGTTCTGCAGGTATTGGCCCAATGACCTTCAATGCCACACCGATTACAAATGCCGATTTGTCTCTTTCATTGTTTAGCCTTTTTGACTATATCCCCATATTGGGGTTTACTCTGCATCCTATTAATGTCAAAACTGTGACAATTGTAAAGGGTATATCAACCGCATTGACTCTCACGACCGCGACCACGTCCACGGCCTCGTTCAGAAAATGTCACATTTGCTTCAGGGAACGGACTGGAACCAGTGGGCCTGGACTGATGATTTTTCATCAATAACTCATTATTTTGCTCAGCTAATAAAAGACATGCAATGAGTTGTAAATACTTTTGAAAGTTTTTCTCACGATTCTGCTGTTGCAACACAACATTAGAAGCATGAAAGGTAGAGAGAGTCTTCTCCAATTTATCATTCTCAGTAACATTTTTTTCCGCAGAGTTTCAACTAAGATGTAATATGATGGATAGCAGAGTTGTACTCTGTAACAGTTTTAAAATCCTGCAATCGCAGCCAATCATGTCGGGCTTTGGGGAGAGTAATATATTTCAAGTGCCCAAATCTCTCCCTCAATTCATTCCACAAATCAAGTGGATCTTTCACCGTTAAATATTCGGAGTGTAAAGGAATGTCCAGATGGTGACGGATGAAAATAATAGCTTTAACCCGATCTTGGCTTGTGGCCGCATTTTCACTGACAATTGTATGAACAAGGTCCATAGAAACCAGATACATTTCTACATCCAGGGACCAAATTAGAAAATTATTGCCAGTGAAAGACAGAGGTTTAAAAGAAAATTTTGCAAGATTTTTCATAGTTTAGAAAATAGGTAATACAAATAGTATAAAAATAAAACTTACCAAAAATAAAATAGGCAAGAACCTTCGTACTGATAACGTGTTATGTAATAATAATAATATAATACTATTATTGGTAAGTATGTATGTATATATGTGAGTGTACTATCTAATAATAGTATATAATAATATATCTATCTATATAATATAATATATATATATATAATTAATGTAATAAAGAAAGAGTAATGTGAGAGAAATTGTAATGCAGTCAAATAATTCTTCTGTCCATTTCCTTCATTCATATGTACATATATATATATAGGCAACATATAGGTGAATGGGTGAATATAATGCATCCATATAAACAACACATAACATCTACGTATCCAGTACGTATTGCCTTGTAGGTGTTGCGAATTTTAACAAATTTGGTGTATTGATATCGGTGTAATATAAATTTGAAAACATTGTAATATATACTTAACATAGTTCACATTTATGTAAAACATTAATTACACATTCTATACTTAAAAGACTTTAAATGACAAAATTGGAACATTTTGAGTAAATAGAAATAACATATTATTGTAAATAAATGGTTAAATTATATACACTCTATTGTGTTTTTAGTAAAATGTACAAAATATCATATGTTTTATTTATTTCATGAAATCTCGTTGTGTTAATGTAAAATATGCATAAAAAACACTCTATTTGTGTTTTGATGTTTGGTTTTCATTAAAGACATAAATTACACAAATTTTATACAAATAAAAAATAAAAAATATTTTAAATAATTTTTTTGAATAAAATAAATAAATAAATAAATGATCAAATCATTTATTTTTATAATTTTTGTAAAAATCAAATAGTAAATTATCTTCGAAAAACTATAAAACGAAGGATTAATCAATTATTTATTTATTTATTTTATTAAAAAATTAAGATATTTTACTTTTTATTTGTATAAAATTTGCATAATTTAAGTATTTATTTAGAAAAAAAATGTTTTGGATAAAGGATATTTCGTGTAAACTTTACATTAACACATGAGAGTTTCACGTAATAAATTTGTTTTATACATTTTTAGTAAAACACACGAGGGTGTTACATAATTTACCCTAAATAAATACTAATAGAAATATTTTTTTCATTCGTCCGCCTCTAAAGATTACATTTATTTTTTGCGTCATTATACTTAATATTAAAAATATTATTATATTTGTATAATTTTGTGTACAAATGTCTTTCTCTTAGATATTGTAAGACACTATAAGGGTATGTTTGGTAAATATTTCAATTTCTTTGGCTTGTTTGACAGTTTGACTCAGAGAAATGAAAATTGATAAATAAGTATTATTATTATTTTTTTAATTTTTTGAACTAAAATCATATTCAATTTCATATTCAATAATTTAATTTTTACCATTTATGAAAAATTGTATTAATATATAATTTTACAAAATATCGTATATAATTTATAATTTTTTTAAAAAAGTCACCAAAAATATTTTTTTATGAACTTTCACTCGTTAAAATTATCTTTTGTTGGATTCATCGTTTATTCTTATTCGATCCATTCAATTTTTTTTTTTATATTTCTCAAGTGAATTCCCTTGTTTTCCAAATAAGATAATAAATTCTCATTCTTAGCAATTCTATTTTCTGTGTACCAAACGCTCCTAATATAATTATTTTTGTCCTTTTTTTAATTGATTTGTATTACGTTTTGATATAATAACTAATATTCAAAGATCAATATAATTCTCAGAGCTGGACCGTGGTAGTAATAGAATAGACAGTTTAAAAATGCAATCAAATAAATTATACTATATCCATCAGACTCTAAGGATTTCATTTACTTTTTGCTTATTGATTTTAAATATTAATTATTATATCAAAACATAATACAAATAAAAAAAATTGCAAAAATACTTCCATTAATGTCTTATAATAATAATAGTGACATTTGTATAAAAAATTATACAAATATAATAATATTTTTAATGTTAAGTAGAATAATGTAAAAAAGTAAATATGATCTTTAGAGGCTGATGGAAGAGTATATTTTTATTTTGACATATAATTTTAATATATATTTATCTAGTTGATTGGATCGAGAGTTGGTACCTGAAATTAAACCATAGATCTAATCCAATGCTCAATTGCTCCAAACATAAGAAATTAATTAAGCTGATTATATATGTCACAAGGCCCAAAATAAAGGCTTTTAGCCTAAATTCAGGCCCAAAAAGTAAATGGGGCCATCAATAAAACTATTTGGCCCATCAATAAATACTAAGGCCCAAAATCTCATGGCACTAAATAAAAATTCAATCGGCTTCAAGGCAGCGCCGACTAAAATGTCGACGGAGGAAAGAGGGGAAACGGCTGCCGTCGGCGTAGATCCGCCGCCGCATTGTTTGCTAGATAGGTTTGTGCTGTCCTCATATTATTTACGCCGACTCTATAGTTATTTTCAGTGCACGTATATTATTTTTCTTTGAAATGAATTCAACTTTTGATTTCAATTTTTAACCGTCAACGCTGAACTAGTTGAAAATGAGTTAGCTGAATGCTTTATAATCACGCTTGTAGAAGATCACCGTGAAAAGTCTCTACAGTTCTATGGTCTATTACCTTTTGCTCTGTGGATGTTTTTACCTTTTGCTCTGTAGATGTTGGATTATTTGTGGTTTTGATTCTGTTAGCATTTTTTAGTCTGAGAATCTGTATTTATGCTCTAATTGGCGTTTCTAATACACACACACACACACACACATATATATATATATATAATGGAACATTTAGTGTGATATTTGCTGTGCATAAGTTAAGGTCAATCGATGTTAGATTGAAGTAATTCAATACTTAAATCTTTACTGCAAATTTGGCCCTGAATTTATACGATCCCAATATGTTGGGGCTCTTAATTGATTTTTGATCTCCTTTCCTTTGTGTATGTTTTTTAAGTTTTATTAAACTCTTGGCTTATCCATTTTTTAAAATTTTTTTCTATTATTATTTTTAAGGATAAATGTATATTTAGTCCCATATGCTCATTGTTATTTTGGTCCTTCTAATGAAGATTGTATGGGGTTGCAAAAGGTCGCTAAGTATAGTAATATTGTCACATGTGTTGATAACTTGATATGATACCTCTTATATGGATATGAACTAGGAACATATAAATTTTTAGCCTCAACTATTCTTGTGAATTTATGTTTTATGCTTATGAAAACATATAGTTTATATATTTCATTAAAAATTAAATTCACATCAAAATTTGGTGTTAAAATTTGATACATGACTAGTCCATGTTAGCTCTGGAGGTGTCATGTTAACATACGTGACAATATTATGATATTAGAGGATTTTTTTAACAATTACGGAGTAGATATAGGACTATTACTATACCAATTTTACTTAAAGGACCAAAATGATAATGAATGTCATATACTGGACTAAAAAATACATTTATCTTCTTTTATTTTCTTGAAAAAGAAATATTTTCAGTTTCCTATGCTCCCTTTTAAACTTGGTGTGTTTTTAGCAGACTTTATGCAATACATAAAGTGGGAGATATAGCCTGTTTGTTAATTGGAGAAGATCTGTTGAGGTGTGCACATTTTTGTTGTGCAATATTCAGTACTCCATTTATGAAGCTCTACTTATGGTTGGTTTCTTCAGTTGTTTGAATGTTTATGAGGAACCGAAATGATTGGTTATGGCGTCAGCATGATATTTTTCCCTTATCCTGGTGCTGATATGTATTTGGAGTATTTCTGATTTAGAGCTTTCTTAAATTATATATTTGTATTGTGTTATAATATTTGTTCATGAAGGCTATTTGTATGCTGCCCTTACGGCACAAATTTCACTATCTCAAAGGATGTTATGTTCCTGCAAATTTGGATGTTATGTTTCATATAGTGATTTAAAGGAGCAATCTTTTAATTCCATTCCAGACTCCCATTTTATTCACTAAGAAATTATGGCAATCCTTTTATTGATGAAAAAACTTAAATTCCTGATATAGTGGGGTGCTTACGCATTAGTTGCGACTTTGCAAGCAAAATAAAAGCGCTGAAAAAATTTGTTCCTATACACTCAGAAGTAATTTGTTCATCTAGTGACTCTTTTTATATACGTTGGTAGAAATACTTCTGCAAGAAAAACTACATCTTATTGGATTGTGTGTGCTAATTTTTCACATCTGCCTGTCAGTCTAGAAATCAGAATATTTGCAATACCATCTGCACTGCTTGCCGCATAGTTGTGTGATATGTGGCAATAATTATTTAATTTGGCCTTTGTTACAAATTATACAACTGGCATATGTAAATTCCTTTTCATTTCATGATAGGGGTTTCCTTTGAGTTGTTTGTGTTCATTAAACTGATATGATTTGCAGGAAAAGGTTGCTTGTTTTGAAGTGATGGAAGGTATTGAGGGATTGGAAATTCAGAAGACATGTTTACCTTGTTCGTGTCGTCAAATGAAATCTTGAAAACTTATCGACATAGGCAACTGAAACCTTGGACAATGCCAAAGTAAGTTTACAAGCTGTAGTTTCCGACCTTTAAATCTTTACGGATCAAACATCAATTACTAATGGGCGAAGTGGGCGAAGTGATGGAAGGATTCATTTGTTTTTTTTAAATCAAAAACTCCAAATATTAATCAAGAAAGTTGGAATTGATTCTTCTATATATTATTTCAACAAAAACTATTAAAGATATAAATATATGCCTTGGCTGCAAAGTAGAAAGAACACAAAAATGCATTTATTACAATAGTCTTGTCTCCCTTCCATAAGTTTTTTATTTCATCGGTGTGTGCATTGATCGAATTACAAGATGCTAGTTTCTACTCTCTACATGTCTCTTGTGTATATACTGAAACTGGATGTGCATTTCATCAGCCTATACTTTGCCCCTGGCCAGGCACGAACCGGGAATTGAACCTGCTTCACCGGGTGCATGTAAACATGCTGTTATGGTTGGTGGTGCCTAATCTTTTGTTTTCTTGGAACTAACTGATTGATCCCTTTTTGAACACATAACACACAGGTGAGAGAAAAGATATGAGATAAATGAATAAATCCATGGATGGGTCCAAAGCTTGGCATGGAGACAGCTAAAGAAACATATTTTTGGTTAGACCTTTTTCATATATATATATAACTTTATCCCAAGAGAGACAAATAAATGGATATCTTGACATTTCTTTTTGCAACATTATATATTGATTGATGGGTACATTTGTTTAATCTCTTTTCTTGCATGAGTGGGGATGGTTTTCTTGTCCTGTCTACCTCTTCTTTTTCTTCCTTCACTTTCACCACTGAGTTTGAATTCTGGGGTTTGTTTATATATCCTCATATGATGATGACGATGATGATGATTATTATTATTATTATTATTACTACAGGGATGGGCAGTCTTTTCAGAGGACTAGGTCAAAGGTAGAGAGATAGCTGGTGGTCAATGAAAGGCAAGAAAAGGGTGGGCTTTGGGCATTGGCATTGGCATTGGCATTGGCATTGGCATTTGGGAACAACTACTGAGAAGAAGACCTAATGTAAATAAATAAATTAATAAAAAGGGTTTTTTTTATTTTTTATTATTTATTGATTGATCAGAGCAGAGTGGATCGGTGTGGGCCCTTTTTCAATTTCTTTACTTGACTTTTTTGAATTCGTTCGTTTGACTTGGAAATGTGTCTTCCCCTCTGACTAATGCGTGTTGACATCATTCCATCTCGGGTTTTGGATTAATTAATTGGTTAAATTAATCAATGTACAACCACAATAATAATAGTAATAAATAATAATTATAATAATAGTAATATGGGTTTGTCGAAATAAAAATAATGAATTGGAAGAACACATCACCAGTGCATAACGTGGGAATTTATTTATTTATTTATTTATTTATTAAACTACAGTACTGTCAGAATATATCTCGAGCACAGCAAAAATGCATACATAATTATGTAATGTATATTGGTGATTATGTAACTTAAGGGATGGATCAATGGAATATGGAATTATTTTATACTATAGTGGAGAATCTTTAATATATATATATATATATATATACATATAGCTATCAATTATTATTATTATTATTTCCTAAATCATTTCCTATGGGTATTGAATTATTTGAGTTGAGTAAAACGAAAAAAAAAAATAAAAATAAAAATAACTTAGGAGCCATGAAACAAAAAGCTATACAGAAAGTTTTATCATGAGTATGAGTATAAAAAGAGGGACTTTCAATTAGGGATAGAATTAATATATCATCATCAAATGACAAAAAAGCTATTGTGTGTTGTTTTGACTGTCTGTCTGTCTCTCTGCGATTCATGTGCACTGACAATTCATTCTTTTATTACAATAAATAAATAATATATATAAATAAATAAAAAGTTAAAAAAAAAAAAAAAAAAAAAAAAAGGTTAGTTGGGTGATATATTGTATGCCGCAATCAACGGTAGAGTGTTCAAACTTCTAGAGCCCCATTAGTCAACCTTTCCTCCCTTATTCAACTCTTCTCTCTCTATTATTATTTTTATTAAATTAATTAATTATATTTTTTAAGGGGTGTCATTAGAGTGAGTATATCAAGTATGGGTGACAAATTCTGTAATTCATTACACAAAGTATAAGTACATACTCCCTCCGTCGTTAAAATTTATGCTCACTTTCTGTTTTCGATTGTCATTGAAAAATATTCTCATTTTCTTTTTAAGTAAAAAATCATTTCACTTTTATACTATTCTCATTTTCTTTTTAAGTAAAAAATCATTCCACTTTTGTACTACTTTTTACTATAAAATGAAAAATTAACAATTATTCTTCACTTTTATTAAAGTTCGTGCTCAGTCAAATGAGTACACATTTGTATGACGGAATGAGAGTATAATATATATATATATATATGACTTGGATTAGCTTTTTCAAAATGTGTTAAGTTTAATTTATAGTTTATTATGTGATATATGTATTATTGGAGTTGCAAACTGTATTAATTAATGGTTGAGCAAAGAGGTAAGTGAAGTACTTTTGTGACATAATAATAATAATAATAATAATAATAATAATAATAATAAAGGAGTATAAAATAATGAAAACCATGCATAGATAGGGTATAATTAGTTGCATTAAAATTTGTGTAAGGAAAAAGTCAAACAACTTGTGTGTGTAACCATGCTTTTTATTCAAGAAAGTATTATTGTATATATATATACTAATTAATTAATTAATTAATTAATTAATTCTAGGTAGTATAATGTTTGTATTCAAGTTTCAAGGACATAGGCAAGAACATTCACATATAATTTGATGAAAGCGTTTCGCTTTGGTAAGTGTACAAACTATTTTATTTTTATTTAAATTTTTTAGGGTTACAATATATATACATATATATTATACTCCAACATCATATCATGCCATAAAGCACAATTTATTTATTGCATAACTCATCTTTTAATGTAATAGTACACAATTTGTTCATAAAATCTAATATATATATATATATATATATTAAAATGCTATAAGTTAGAATGTAATAAAGTTTACAAAAAAGTATTTTATTGTTTATAGTGAAGTTGTGTGAAATATGTCTTTATTTATCTATTTAAGGAAGAAAGGTGCAATAGAAAGTGGTTGCAAATGGTGCAAAGCAATTTTATGTAAATTATATATAGGGAGGGTCGTCTCAGACCTTTTTTTTTAGGCCTTGAGCGAAAATAAATTATAGATCCCTACAAATACATGATTAAAATGTATTTTTAATAATATTATTGATTGTCGTTGATTGGACAAGAGGCTGAACGTGACCGTCTGAACAATGTCAATTTGAGAAAAAAGAGATGAAAGACGGTCTGTCTGAAAGTTCGAAAAGCAAGAAAGACTGAAGGATGGTGAAATATATAAGAGAAAATGTGAGGCAAGTTTGATCGAGTTGCTGGAAGCAATGAAATAGGGTGTAAGCATAGACGATTAGAAAGAAATAAAAAAATATATATATGATTAGAAATTAAATTTAATTTTAAAATTTAATAATAATAATAATAGATAATATTTAAAATATAGATCCTCTATTAATTAGGGGGCCCGAACAGTCGTTCACCTGCTCCTACTATGAGCCGCCCTGATTATATATATATATATATATTTATGTGTGTTTATAATTTTATTGAGTTGATGGGATCCATGCCTATGAAGTGATTTTATATGGACAACTCCATAAAGGTGACAGATATTGAAAAGATTAATAAAAATAACTTGTACTAATTCATAATTTTACAACTCCTAATAATTAAATAAGAACCATAAATATGACCATTAAGCTTTTTTTGCCCCAATTTTTGTGCCATAGTGAGAATTAATTAATGGATTGCAAAATAGTTTACTTTAACTACTTTCCCTATAGGCTGTTTGTTATAGCTTTGCCTAAACATAGTCTAAACTATATTAATAAAAATAAACATTAATTAATTCAACCAATAAATAAAACACACACACACACACAAGCTATGTATATAAAAAGTAACCATAGGTTTAACAAAATTGTAAATACAAGAAATTATTACAAAGATTTTATATGATTGATATAATTACTTATGTCAACAAATTATAGATTTTATTAATATAATAATTATTACTCCATCCGTCCCACATACCATGTCCACGTTGTCGTTTCTGTCCGTCTCATATACCATTACTTTCCTTTTTTGGAAAATGATTATACACTTTAATCTCATTTTAAACTTTTATTTTTTTAAAAAAATTTTAATTAAACTAATTAGTTATGTTAATCTTAATTTATAATTATTTATATTATAAGATAATTATTTTCACTAATACATTCTTAATTATCTATTAATTACACCCTCCTAAAATACCGTGTCTACAGTGTAGCAGACACGGTATGTGGGACGAAGGGAGTATTAAAGACTTGTGATAGTAACTTTTAGAATAAACGATTTTAAAAATATATATATTGTATGCAGATGAAATTAACTTGCAAGTAATTTTAAAAAAAATATATATATATTTTAAAATACATAATTCATATATATATATATATATATATATGTAAATATTGAAAGATAGTTGAGAATGAATACCAATAGTTAGGTATATAGCGATGTAGACTTCTATGGATCCTTTAAAGAAGATTGAAGTGATGAATTGGTTATATAATTATTGTTTGAATATTAGAGTGATTTTATTTTATTTTATTTTGCTATATTTTAGTTTTATAAAATGTATCTTATCATATACTCCCTCCGTTTTAGATACCATGTCCACATTGCCGTTTCTGTCCGTCTCACATACCATGTCACTTTCATTTTTTGGAAAATGATTACACACTTTAATCTCATTTTAAATTTTTTAATTTTATTTTATTTTTTTAATTTTAATTAAACTAATTAGTTATCTTAATATTAATTTATAATTATTTATATTATAGGATTTATTTTTACTAATACATTTTTAATTATGTACTAATTACATATTTTTTAAAATACCGTGTCTATAGTATAGTAGACACGATATCTGGGATGGAGGGAGTATTCATAACACAAAATCTTGTTGAGAATCCTCTCACCCCATAAAGAAATAATTGATGGGGTTGGAATAGAATGGAATAAATAGTGGTTGTGTAGAATAATAGTAGTATATTATTATTTATATATAAATCATAATTATTTACTAATTTAAATATTTTTCTAACCGTCACAGAATGGATAATGATTGTTGATTATATATATATATATATATGATGACAAATTAATACAAAGTTAGTTAGTTAGAAGAGTTTATTGCACAATCACTTAATCAAGTGGAAAGAAGTAATTATATATAGAGAGAGTGTGTAAATTAGTTGAAATTCCACTCAAATTACACCTTTAATCAACTAAAAATTTGGCTTTCAATTAATTATCTTTCTTTACTTCATACCCTTTTTTTTCTACCTTCATTACACATAATTGACTATCGAAAATTGTATGAATTAATAATATAGAGAGAGAGAAGAAAATTAAATATTATAATTAAACTGGTGATTTAAATTTTTATTTAAATAATATTTTAATGTAATATTTTATGAAAATAAAGAATATATTTTATTAAAAACTGTGCACATCAAATGAAATTTTTTATTTGAAATTATAAAAAAAAAAAAAAAAAAAAACCAAACAAACACACTCTATATATGAATTATTATCATCAGTTTATAATATTGTACAATCATATCTTTGATATTTTAATGCACTATTTATATATATATATATATACTTTAAGGAAGCTTTTACAATAATTCATCAATATTAATTATTTCAAAAAGTATTAGGTTAATTTTTTTTTTTTTTTTCCATAAAATATCATATCAAATATTTGTCTTCTTACTATTTTGAATTCAAAATTACCAAACTTCTATCTAAATGGATAAGTTTGTGATTATGCTTTCTTCATTTTGAAATTTAATATATGTGATTGTTCCTACCGGTGGATAAAAAGCACAGGTAAAAGACTTTTTTACTTTTGCGAGTGTATCAGTGTAAAAAGTAGTAACAATTGTGTAATAATAATGAAAAAGTAAGAGTAGTTTTATAGTGATATGATTATCTATGAAATGAGACTATTGTTTTGGGACGAACAAAAATAGTAAACAAGACTATTGTATTGGAACGGAGGGAATAGTATTTTAATATAATATTTTTATCAAAAATCATGCAAGTTAAATAATGTAAATTTCTATTTG